GATTTTATCAGAGCTTTGTCGTGAATAGTTCAGTTCTACAGCACTTGGAATCCTTGCAGAGCACCCATTCTATTCAGAGTTGCGATGTATTTTTTCTTCTTCTGAAGTATCATGTCAAAAAATAAAATAATATATTGTTTTTTTTGTTGCCATAACAAAATAATGTTAAGTCTAAACTATCTAATTTTATATACTATCAACACTCCAAAATTATGCTTCGGTTGGATAGAAAGAAAAGTTGGGAGGAAAGAAAATGAGACGAGAGAAAACAGAAAGAAGAGAAAATATTATTATGCATCTTTTCTGGATGAAAGAAAGAAAATGGAGAGAAAAGAAAATGAATAAATATATGAATGATTAAAATATCCTTATCTCAAAGTATATTATGTTTAAAACTAAATTAAATATCACAATAAAAAATGATATGAACATTAATATTATCAAATAATTTAAAATAAAACTAATTAATAAAAATATATTATCATATTAATATATTTAAAATCAAATAGTTTAGTAAAAATGTTATGTTTAATAGAAAAATAAAATGTAGATATTTTTTTAAATTAAATATAATAAAAGAAAATAAATAAAATATATATTATGTACAATTATTATTAAATAATAAAAAGTTTATTATAAAAGTTGAAAAAGATGGAGAATGTATGTGTATGGGCCTGTACAGTTAGTATCAATTCCGAGTATTACATTAAATGTGAAAAAATAGATTTTATATATTGGTTTGGAACTTGGCTAAATTATAAAGTAGCCATAAATAAAATTAAAAAAACATTGTATTAAAAGCAAAATATGTGTTTATTCACTTAATAACAAGGCCTTGCCACGACCTTGCCCGGACCATGCCGGGACTTGCCCGCGCTTGCTCCAACCTTGCCCGGACCGTGCCGGGACTTGCCCACCCCTTGGAGTCCCCCCTATAGGGAGGCATACAACAAATATGAATTTTCTACTCATTTTCTCTCCATCAAACAAAGAGTTGAGGTCTTCGAGCAAAGAGGCACGAGTTTCTCTGCATTTCCACCCGGAGATAGAAAAAGAGAAGAGAGTCAACTCATCTTATTTCTTTCAACTCCCAAATTTTGTGAGTATTAAACCTTTTTTGACTAATTCAAATGTATATGAAATGGTTGACTGATACAAGACAAGGAACTTTCAACTTACATGGGCGCGCATACAGAAATTAAGATGGTAGTTGCTCGCAATTATGAATTGTGCGCGCGCGTCTAGATATATACATACACGCACATATATATATAGAACCACACAAACTGAGACAATTCATATGCGATTTCAGTTCTTTACATAAAGCCATGGGGTGCACTTTTTCCACGGAAGATAAGACGAAGAGATATAAGATGAAGGCTGAAGCTGCCCGGAAAACTAAGGCGGCTCAACCACGTCATCGTCGGCAACCACGTCACGTGAATAGAACCGGAGCTGACGGCGGCATGGTCTTCATGATGGGTGCTGCGGCGATGTACGGGGGAGACGGAGCTAGTGGTGGAGGTTGTGATGGAGGCGGAGGCTGCGGCGGCGGCGGATGTTGATGCGTGCATAAAACAACTGATCGATTGTTTTTGCAGCCGAGAAAGTGTTGACAAATAGATTCAAAATTTCGTTGTAAATAAGCTTCGTCGTTGTTAAAATATGCATGTTTATGCCTGCAAGCTGCAATGTATAGTTTTTGTTCTGCGCATCTTATGCGAAGAGAGTATATATTGGTGTCCTTCTTGCGAAGATGGCCGGATAATCGCACGCTTGGTTGATTACCATTTACTGATTTTCAAATAAAAACAACAATAAGATTTAAACAAAAATTAAAACAACCATTGATAAGAATAAAAAATACGATTTAAATTCTTAATGAACAGTATTTAATTCTAAAATAAAAATAAAATAACATATTCATAGTGTAAATTCTTGTTTTATAATTTATAAATTTATAATATACACACGCACATTTTGGCCAAGTCAGCCAATTTTTTATTTGTTCTTTTTCGGACGATACATCCATTTGCCTCGACCAGACAGGGATTGTTTCACTGGTTAGTCTTTTTGGTTCAATTTTATCTTTTACTGCGATGATTCCTATTTATCTTAAATTTAACACCGCACCCCTCTTTCTAAGTCTATTTTTGCAAATTCGCCTGCCAATTTTGTACGATTTCAAAGTTCACGTGCATGTATTATGATCAAAGTATAATGTGTCGTAAGTTTCTCCTCCGACAAAAAATAAAAAATAAAATAAAATTCAATGGCAGGAGACCAAGGTAATATGTTTAGTCTTCTGATTTTTCATCAAGTTTCAGTCTCTTATGTTTATAAAATATAATTTCAATAATTTTTTGTTGAAAAATTAAATAATATAATTTATTCTTAATACTGTTAGTTTCATTAAAAAAAATATTGACTCGGCAAAATTAAATGACAATTATATACTTAGGCGTCCATGAATCATGTTTAAATTTTAATGTTTTAATATATTTATTTTTATATTTTAAGATTAAAACTAACCTGTTAAAAATTTTGTGATTATATTAAAGGATAAAAAATAATTATTTTTATATTTTAATGTAATTTGTGAGCATTAAAAATTTTGCCACGGCATTTGTTTTCATTTATTATATTGAAATATTAAATTTAAACATTTTTATCAGCATTTATTAGTAAATTATTATTTAAATTTGTTCAGTCAACACCCTTTTTTAATTAAGGAATTGAAAATATATTCTATAATCTTAATCAGGACTAAATTGAAATTTCATGTAAAATCTGGGGATTAAAAAATATAATATTCCCCTTGTCTTTAATATAAGATCTAATTATGTAAGGTCTATGTCATATGTTTATCAATTTTTTCAAATTAGCCTTATTAATAATCAAATAGAAGAGATAGGAAGGAAATTAATGAAAATGCTTAAGGAGTTTAAAAAAAATCATATTAACTAATTTAATTAATATTTTTAATTTATTTAAATTAGTTAATTAATTCTTGCATGTCCTGGATTAAGTACTGGAGGAGTAATATACTTTAACTTAAACACCTACAGATCTGGAGAAATAATTTTTGGATGAATTTTTTTGTTGCGACCAGAAATTCGAAGTATTCAAGAATCAACAGGCGCTAGAATATTTTATCCCCGGAAACCCCTTTTTTTTTTTGGGGGGGGGGGGGGGACGCGCTTGAATAGAAGTCAAACACAACTACGCGTACACGTAATGCGAGTCGTGGTCAACAAGAAAAAGTCATGGTCAACATTGGCCATCGACCACGTCAATTTTACCTTGCCAGTAACTTCTCCGGAAGTTATGAGGGAAATCCATGAAAAAAGAAAAAAGAAGGTTAAATGTTTAAAATTCCAATTCAGAAAGGTAACATATGTAAATTACCGGGGGAAAATGAGGCGTGAATGGGATATTTTGAAAATGTTTTGAAATTACCTATATGCTTTTTTGTGACCAAAAAAGTTATGAAATTTATCATTTTCAGTTTAATACTTATCATTCCCAATTCAGCACTTATTATTTGCAGTTTACAACTTGTTAATTAGCTAATTGACTAAAATAATAAAAAATAAAAAAATTATGAAACTTATAATAATTTTCAATTCAATACTTTTTATTGTAAGTTCAACACTTGTTATTTCTAATTTTGTAACTTGTTAATTAACTAACTAACTAAAATAATAAAAAATAAAAATTATGCAACTTTTTATTTCTAATTTAATACTTGTTATTAATCCGTCAACACTTGCCATTTTCAATTCTATTAATGTCATTTATATTACAGAAAGACATATGGGTAATATCACAATATTTTAAAAATGTCAATTCAGACCTCATTTCCTTTCCTATTATTTTCAAGTAAAATCTCTGAAATTTTATTACATATATATATTTTAACTTGCATTGTCAGGTACAATAACATCGCCGTACTAGAAATAATCAATCAAAGACGAGCAAAGCCCCTAAAATTTGAACTTTTCTTCCCATGGACTCGATCGAACATTATGAAATTAAATTACAGCGTGTGATGATGGAAACTTTATACTATAAAAGCATATCTATTAATATGATTGATGGGCATGTACGTACAGATCTCTCTGAGCTTGAGCAAATAAAGATGGAGCCAGTTTTAATTGCATTTATCGTCGTAGTTGTTTGCTTATTCGTCTTTATCTTAGTATTTGGGATATTGTGTGGAGGAAACCGACGACAACCAACATTAGGAGGCGGCGGCGGCGGCGGTAATACTGATCATCTTCAGCATCATCACCACAGCCATCTCTTTCATGGTGGAATTATCGCAGATGCTGGGGCTATTGCAGCCTCTGGTGGAGGACTTGCCGGATTCGATGTTGGCGGTGGTGGAGGAGGGGGATGTGATGCTGGCGGAGGAGGAGGTGGTGGTGCTAGTGCTTGCTAAACACACTCCATCTCATCACAATAAAGTCAAAGCTGCGCTATTTCAATTTATGACACGATTTTTAAATTTAATTGAAATTGGAGTGAATCATAACTTGGTTGTAACGAGTAAATATAGTTGTTAATTAAGAGTTAAGACGTCTGAAATCCTTGTGGTATATATCTTTTCTATTTTGCGTAAGCTCTTCAGGCCATTTTTAAAACACAACAACAGGCTCAGACTAATTTGGATCGAAACATAATAGGAGTCATTAAAGTTGGTGTCACTGACTCTTAAGATGCTGTATTTTCACGCCTCGAACTCGACACCCGTGGTTAAACTAAAACAGCTTCAATAAACTTTGATCAAGTTTTTCTTTAAAAAAAAAAATAGACGTTCCTTTGTAAAAAAAAAAGGCCATCATTTAATTAAACACAACAAATTAAATATTTTCAAACATAGCAACCACTCAAACCAGACAGTAGAAATCAAATTGATTCTATCCCATAAAACAGCATCAACCACTGGTTATGACATAATTCATGGTGACATGAGTTTAATAATTTGGAGCATTATATTAATTAATCCGAATAGCTTCCAAGCCTCTTGGCATAGAAGCACATATCACCTTTCGTTGAAGTCGAACGTAATCCTTGTACGTCATGCTCTTGAACAATGGCTTTTCCTTCTCCAATAACTCCGGTGCAGGTCCCATTTCTTTATCCGCTTCTGGTCCGTTCGCTGCCACAACACTAACTCTCGTCTCTTTCTCATTCACAACTGCTCGATGCCAAACACTCTTATACCGCCCATTACTCACAACCTATTACCAAAAGGTCAGAATTTGTAGCCATTGAGAACACAAAACTGTAAAGTTCTTTATGCATGTGAAGGATATGGACTGAAAGTGAAATTAAAGTGACCTCAAGTTGATCGCCAGTGTTGACAATTAAGGAATTAGGAAGAGGATCAACGTTAACCCATTTGCCATTGTGCTTCAATTGAAGGCCTCTGATTCCATTTTGAATGAGGATATCCAAGAAGCCATTATCAGTGTGAGGAGGAAGCCCCAGAGCAAGGTCAGGTTGAGGACATGGAGGGTAAAGGTTCAGTTGAAGTTTCTGGTACCCATGATCAAAACCTGAGTACTCAATAATGGCATCCGGTTTTAATCCTAAACTCTCCGATATTCCCTGAAGCAATGTCCTCGACAAGCCTCTGATTGCCTTACTATACTCCACAGCAATCTCCCTGTAAAAACAGAAGACCATTCATAGAAGAAGATAAATTTAAGATAAGAGATGAAGAAAATGGAAGAGGGCGTTGATGATGTTGAATACGTACTTGAAACCAGGTGGTTTGTGAGGAAAATTGAGTTGTCCGTGAAAATTGTAAACTTTAAGATGATCTATCCAATAATGGACATTCCCTCCTACTCCTCGAGAAAGGGCACTAGTTCCATACTTGATGGAAGGTAGCAGGTCATCATTACAAAATTCCTTCTTTTCCTCCAGAGGGAGATTATGAAACTCGATGGCCTTGTCCAGAACATGTTCCATTAAACTCTCTGGAATCCCATGATTTGTGATCTGAAAAGCCCCCCACACAGAGATCAAAATTGATATAAGAATAAAAATCGCATTTTTGCGATCATAAGAATACAAATGAAGCACCCATACCATGCTGTTTCGATTTCATACAAAGCTTTGTAATTTTCAAGCTCAAAGGAGACTCAACAGTGAAAACTCTCAAGTACTCTGTTTTGTCAATGTAGGAACAGAGTAAGGAAGAAGGATGAGAAATTACCATGAAGAAGCCCCAGTGTTGGCAAGCTTGGCCGAGTTTGCGAACTGCGGCAGCGTGGATTTGAGAGTCGGGGGAGGTGAGGCGGGAGAAGTCGATGACAGGGATGAGAGCAGCCAGCTCATCTGCCATGTCATCACGACCTTCAGAATCGGTGAGAGTGTGGTAGCGGGAAGGGATGAGAGCGCCGCCGTTTGATTCCGACAAGGCTTTCACGCTTGAGACGCCGGAACCGGAAGCCATGGATGAGGATAAAAACAAAGGCTATGAAACTATGAATGAAATAAATACTGTAAAAGGAATCGTGGCGTTAGATACAGTGGGCGACCCATTTTATGCACACTTTCCAGTGCTATGCATGCATGACAACAAGTTGTTGTCTGTCCTGAACCCAAATGTTCTCCTGTAAATCCACATTAAATCAGGCTGTTTCTTTAATTTCTGTGCCACTGAATTAATCTCCTTCACTTATGACAAGGTAGAGTGGCAAAATCCTGCTTTTTACGAGAATGACTTGATTCTACAGAGTAATTAATTACCACTCTAGTACTATTAATTAATTACTGGTCTAGTAATATTTACAATTGATTTTCAATATGTTTCATGCGGATGAAAAAAAATTTTAAACTTCATAAACCCTCATTTAAAATTTAATAACTTTTTAACTTTATCTCTATTTATACTTTATATGAACAAATTCAATATAATAATAAATAAAGAGTAAAATTATACATTCATATAAAACATTCCTCTTAGTACCCTGTAAATAGGACTAAAAAATATATTCTCTCTGACTAGAGGAGTATTATTTATCAAGAATGACTTGATTCAATCTATAAGTCACTTGAAGAATAATTAATAATTATTTATCAATTTTGCCCTTACAATTATTACTTAAATGTGACTTTTTGCATTTTTCTTTTTTATTCACAACCTTATTTAATGTGAATAAAGCTGAAAAAAGTTATCAATTTACTACACATATTTAATGAGTTAATTGTCATTTTTTGTTTTGATGATTAGTTAAAGCCAATTATATTGTGAACAGCAAGGACTATTTTTTTTAAACAATATCACTTATTTGAAAAAAATGTTATATGATGAAATTTAAAAAGCAAGTATCAAACCATTATTTTACTTTAACTCTAACTTATTTAAATATATTCGGTTAATTTTGTCTTTACTTCTTAAAATTTGATGTTATTTTTAATTTTGGTCCTTAAAAATTAAAAAAATGTTTTTCAGAAATAAAAAAATCTTTTGACGGAACCCACTAAGGTTAAATTTTAGGAATCATAGTTTCAAATTTCAAGCACTATAACTAAAGCGCAGCTAAAATTGATACTTTAAATATTCATAGCAAAAAAGACACAGCAGCGACCATCTTCATAACATATAGGTGTGCCTTAACACTCCCCCCCCCCCCAAAAAAAAAAAAAACTGCTAGATATAATCTTAACTCCACATATGATAAATTTGTGATCCTTAGTTTGGTCACAATATAGTAATCCCTAGAAATTAAGAAGCCTTTGTTATGATACATGTTTGAATAGTCTAAAATAAACCCAACATATCGTAAATTAGCAATCCTCAGAAAATAAGAAGTCGCTACTTAATACTCAATATACACAGAGCAAGATTGAAAATCTATATATAGACAAATGCCCGTCGTGATGATTCGAAGCCAATTCTGATTCGTTACATGTAGCTATGGGCTGCGTTTGCTCCAGAGGAGAGAACGAGAAAGATGGAATTAGGAGTTACAAATCCGCGAGAGAAGCAGCCCAAGCTATTAATAGAATCAAGAAGGCTCAACGACGCCGCCGTCGCCAATCACGTTACGTATACAGAACCAGGACCGTCGTTGGAGGCGGGGGTTGCAAAATGGGAGGTCCCTCAGGTGGCAGCGCCTGCGGAGACGGCGGTGACATGATCATGATGATGGGTGCTGCAGCTTTGGTCCAAACGAATACTCATGGAATGATTGATGGGGATGGAGGTGGCGGCGGCTGCGGTGGTGGTGGTGGCTACATTGGCGGAGGTGACGGAGGAGGTGGTGGGTTTTGACATGTACGTGAATGGAATTATTTGAATCTTATCATAATGGATTCTTCTCTCTTCTGGTTTTGTTTTCAACTGTCCCCCGTAATTATGTCTCGTACATGGTCGTTAAAGTAGTTGATTATTAGGCATCTAGATCGGATCTTAGACATTTTATCCATTAGGAAATAACAGAAAGAAATAATGTTCTGAAAATCGTGGAGGTCAAAAACGCTGCATTATTAGCTGAAATGACATGAAACCAATTCTTCGCCCGTTTGACTCCGAGGTTTTGTTTTCCTCCTTGTGATCTTCGTGCACTCCTAGAATAATGCTCCCAGAAATAAATATAATGAGCTAGTTCTGATTCATCTGTTTTGGTTCAGGTAATTAACAGAATCTGGAAAATAATTTAATTCAATCAATCATTGTTAATATCAAGTTTGGTCAGATTTGGCTGCATGTTTAAACTAACATAAAAAAAATAATGATATTAGAAACTCTTAACCACTTATCTATACATACATATATATATATCAAGAAGCTTGAGGGGAAATTTCTCTTGGGAATTAATGAAGATAATCATATTTGTTATGAGGATGTAGTTATTTACTTGACTCGTTTCATTATCTCTGTTAATACTCAGAATTTCTGTAGAAGTATTCAAAATGAACATGAATACGACAGGGTCAAACACAAGTACGCGCACACGCAAGCTGTTTCCTTGTATGATACTCATGTTTATACTTAGTTTGATTATAATTTATGCGGCGGAATGTTATCAATCAAGTAACATATAAGACTGGAACGATCTCTTGAATTTGAATATTCTTCATCATGGACCTGTTCAAACATAAGGATAATTCCAGCTTCTGATGGAAACATTCTTGCTATAAAAAGGCATGCCCATGAGATTTTACAAATGGCCTTGTATGTACGATTGAGAGATGGATCCAGCTTTAAAAATATTTATCATTGTTGCTGTTTGCTTATTTGCCTTTGCTGCTGTACTGGGAATATTGTGCCGTGGAAGACGAGTCCGGCTGGCTTCTGGTGGCGGTGGCGGTGGCGGTGGCGGTGGGTTTGCTCATCATCACCATCACCACAATAACCACGCTTTCCATGGTGGAATGACAGATGCAGGCGGGATCGGTGGAGGTGCCACCTTTGGTGGCGGTGGAGGAGGTGTTGGCGGTGGTGCTAGTGCTTGCTGAGTCACAACGAACCAGACTAACCCCAAAAGACCCACAACTTTAATTGAGATGAATTGATTGTCAACGTTTAAAACTTCCTAGTCATTAGTTTCTTCTAGTGCATGTCTGGATTTTTTGTACTTATGTAGGATGATCTTTATTTCCAATGGAAGTAAGTAATTAGTTTTGTGATTATTCATCTTCATGCCATCGGTGGCTGCCTATTACTCTATTGTCTTATTCATGGATATCAGTGGTCACTTATTTCGGTTCATGTTTAAAACCACCATGATTTTAGTAGTTCCAAATGTATTCTTAATCTGCCGATGAAATTGATATCAAGCACGACAGAAAGCAATTAAATTTCGTACGATCAGGACCTAATACGAGTTAATCATGCTTTTAGGCCAATCTTCACAAGTATTTTTAATACTCCTCCAGTCCTTAATATAGGACCTAATTGTTGAGTTGGTTTTGATCATAAATATAAGACCTATTTATTATGTTTATCAATTTTCTCTAAATTACTCGTATAAATATTCTCTCAACCATAATCAAGTAAAAGAAGAAGATGAGATATTAAGAAAGATAATTATCTTATTTTAAGAAAAATATGTCACATTTGTTATAATTAACTAACTTACCTAACTTTCTTAATCTAATCAAATTAGTTAAATGAGTTTTATATTAAAGACCGGAAGAATAACTCAACATACTATGATGGATCGTTTTTGTTTCCAAAGACAGATCTTATGCTTGAAACAGTTCTTTAATCTACTCAATTCATTTTATGACTCCTCAAGTCTTAACCATCTTGGAATAATCCAAGAATGCGAAACTTTAAAAAAGACCACTCTGAATTGTTTAAAATTACAGGACCAATTTGATTCAATATAATCGATATAATTAACAGGTTATTAAATTTTAACTTTTTTTAAAACATTTGTTAGATGAAAATCCAAAAAACAAAGAGCTTTACCAAGTTTTTTCGTCTTGCAGTACAGAGAAGCGTAAGCTTGTAGCTAGCATAATTTGGTGAACGAGTGGTATGAATGATGTAAGAGTCAAATTCAGACACAATACTATACATTCGCCTCCCACTTTTCAACAAATAAAAAAATAAAATTGAAAAAGGGCCACTGATCACTGATGGAACACGTGAAACTCAGCTGCTTTTGCTGGAAATAATGCGTAGCCACAATAAATATTACATCAAAATTGCAAAGATAACACCCAACGATGGGTCGGAAACAGATGAGATAATTTCAGGTACCATAGCTACGGTCCCCTGCATCTCCAAGGCCCGGAATTATGAACCTGTTAGAGAGAAATTATTAAAGATATGCTAAGAGGCCAAACATCTATGTTATATGGATAAAAAATTTCCCCATGGCAAATATTAAAGTCAGGGACTAACCCTTTGTCATTCACAGTAGGATCAATAATTCCGGTATACACATGAAGGCTGTAAAATTCTTAATGTTAGAAATCCACAAGATAAATCTAGTCTGCAAGAAACTAAAGAAACTTGAATTATGTGATTACCCAGGGAATTGCTCACTCAGCTTCTGCAGGGCCGGTGGGGCAGAGACAGCAGATATCTACAATGTCATGATTATAGACTAAATAAGCAACAGATGAAAGAAAAATATAACTCAAAATGTAGGCAGTTGAATGAATAAACAACCTCCAGTTATGCAGTGCCAATGCTATATATAAACATTGAAATATGTTGGAATGAGTCCCAAAAGAAAATCTAGTTTCAATAAGATGCAGGGGCTAACCACTTTAATCTGCTTGTTGCCAACTCCACGATCCTCTAAGAGTTTGAGAGCTGCCACTATAGTACCACCTACAATTCATATGGACAAAGAATATGATTCATGGATACTAGTTTATTTTAGGGATGGACAAAATCAGAACCAATGCATTAACCTTATAACTTCCAGCCCTAACGGAATTAGAGTTGAAATTTTCAGAAAAATTATCGTGGTTAATCATAAGTGGTAAAATGTGTAAAGCAAAATAAACAGACCCAAGCTTAGATAAATATATTTCTGTTAGTTCACATGTTTAATCTTCCAATTCATTTTATAACAGAAAAATGACAAAAGCAACCCATTCAAACAGCAAATATGAGACAGTCACAATTGGAGAGAACACTTCCAACAAAACATATGGTTACTTTGGATTTGAAATTATATTGGACCTTATTATATACTACTTTTACGACAAATATAGACCATATGGCAGCCCATCCTAAAAACCAACACATGCGGCAGCTTGAAAGTTTGATTGATGACATGTGCAAAAGCAAAAGCTCAAGCATCAGTAGATTAAATATACCTGTCGCAAGCATAGGATCAACCACAAACACTTTAGATCCTTCTGGAAATTTATCAGGCAACCTGGCAATCATACACTGAAACATATGATAAAAGGTTCTCCAACATTTAAGTAAAACAACGCAAAAGCAGGACAATAGTGGCTTGCCCTCCTTATGCTCCCTCACCTACACCCAACCAGCCCCAAAAGTCAGAAGTCGGTGTTTTTTGTTTTTGTTTTTTTTTTTTTTTGGGGGGGGGGGGGGTGTTGTCGTTGTGTTTCTAACACTTCTCTTACTTGTTCAGATATATAGTTGGCTGAAGCGTTTCTTCATCTCTGCTTATTCCTAACACAAAATAAAATCAGAAACAAAAAAATAATTATGTATTCGAACGACAGAGATTGGCAAAACATGTGTTGTGATTTTAAAGAACAAATGTCTCATCAGAATCAATATTAGTATTAGATGTAGTTTAAAGAAGACATCACATTGGTCTAGCGAACCATAAATTGATAGATCCCGGAGCAACAATAGAGTATCTATATCCTCCAATTGTTGTTAACTTCTTTACCAGCCAGATCTTATTCTTACCTAAATGATACGTTTTTGTTGCAGGCAAGATTGATGATGCATGTTCTGCAAGAGCAAGACCAGCTCTCAAGATGGGAACTACCTGAAAAGGGAAAAAAAATCAAATGATTTCTTGCACAAAGGTGCTACAGCCAGACTCTGGAATCTTCAACAGTTCAGCAGGGGTAAATGGAGAAGCAATCATTTATACGAAACTGACTATGCTCTTGCAATAATTATTTCATTTTTTAAGCAGGAAATGAGGGTTATTTCCCCATCATTCTTTCCTTTTCGACCAAGCCATTTCCATTCCTTTCTATATTATACCAAATGTAATTATTCCATTCCACTCACATCTTTATTCTTCTTTCACTTTCCTTCCAAACAATTTTGCAAGCCGAGCACATCAATCATTCATTATATGCAAAATTAATGGATTAAGTAAATATATTGAAAACTGAACACCAGAAGAAATCCTTAGAAGGTTTAATAAAACAAACGTGATGAAAGTAATAAGATACTCACTGCTACAGGCTCCCTTGGATCTATAAATTCGACGGAGGCAACACCCATCGGTGACTGGATCTCTCCTGCAACAGTTGGCTGAAAGCAATGGAAGGGGAAAAAAATAACCATGGATTAGAGGCAAACAAAATTATTTCCGTGGAAGCTATGAAATAACATCCAGTCTATCAAAAGTACACCTAGTATGTTGGCCTACCTACGAGTTATGATTATAGGGCTATGTACAATGTTCCAAAGATCACTAAACTATATTTATTTTCATTCAGTAAAGCCGGCACTTTAGAATCTTTTCCTGTCCTGAAGAAACTTCAGTAACTTTCAATAATCCTTATGATGAGGCTCATTTGGGTTTAATTAACTTGTTTATAGAGTATTAAGGGTATTACTGATTCTAGTTTTAAGTCCAAAGTTTCCACATGGCTTATTGATAGTGAATGCCACGATCCCTCCAAGATTGGAAAAAATTCTTAATCCTTGTAAAATATTTTGCAGGATATATATTGAAGTGGCTGTGATACTTTCGTTCTTCTCTCCTGTTGACTGAGCTGCAACCAAGTCCCAGGCACCACGTTAAGCATAGGTTAATTGCCCTCCTCTTTGCAATCAATACTTTATTTCACTTAATTTTTTGATCCACTAAGAATCTAAAAAGAACACATCCTAGTGCTTTCAAACCGTCCTTTCCCTGACATACTCAAGTGAGCCCTCAACTCCCCAATACCACTAACCCTAAACTATAAAATGCGCAACCTTCCAATGTCCCTGATTCAGAGAGAAAGATCTATACAAGGCTAAGCAAAAGTCAACTTATATCGTAGGCAACGTTTTGATACACGTGGATAGAGAAGCACAATTTGGACCAAGCAGATGTTTGGAAATCAATGTAACCCAGAGGTGAAAGCCATGCCTAAAATTTGTGTGCTTTTAGGGGAAAAAACAGACAGCAAGAACATTATGTTTACTGCAGGAAAAACCTTTTAAAAGAAATCCAAAAAAAAAAAAAAAATCAAGAGCAAAATAAAAAAAATTAAAACAGGCTCATAAACTATGATGCAACTAACCAGACAATCCCTTGAAGCTTCATACAGTAGTAGCCTTCCCAGCTCAGCCATTGCATTTCCTTCAACGATGCAAACAGTGCCAGATCAATTTTATATAATTAACCAGGAAAATATAATTCAACATCAATCGGCACCAAAAGGATGGAGAAAGAAAGATGGAGGATGAATGTTTCATATGAAAACAAAATAATACCACACGCTCACAAGTCCACCCTGTTCAAGGAAGCTATATTCCTTTGTGGCAAAGTAGAGATATTCAAATTAAGCTGTTCCAAGTCCCAACCACAAAAATAGATAAAAACGTATGAGAGTTGCCAACCGATGCTCAGAAATCAGACCCTTAAGCAAATTCTTTCCACACTTAGCAGCAACAATTTATGGGAGTGAAGTCCTACGCTCCATCAAAAATTTTCTGACAAGCACTTCATTATGAGACACGACAGTAAAATGATGAAAATAAACTAAAGATAGAGTAGAACCTTTATTAATAATAATGATTTCTTTTCGGTGAAAGTAATAATGATTATTGAAGATACGAAAACACTACTATTAGTGCTTCTACTTGACTTTGCCGGTGAATATAACTGAACTGACGAAGCCATTGAAAGTGAAAAGCAGCAGAGGAAAAAAAAAGGCGGTTTCGAAGGCAATTCATGTGATTGAACCAACTGCTAAGGTAACTGAAGAAAGGAGGATCAGTATTTATTGTTACGATGAAACTCCAGAGTAGAAATTGTTGCACTCACTGAAGATGGGACAAGGAGTCTGTTCGTTCCTCAGAACTGAAACCCAGTGCTTGATCAACGGATGCGGAGGCACATAAACCTTCAAACCCATCGAAAGAATAATCAGTCAATTATGCTACTATGAATAGCTAACAACTACAAGCCATTAACCGAAATCACAGATGGCTTAAAAACTAACTAGCATTTTGTCCCCAGAAATCGGCTTCTCCTCCATGGTCATGTGAGACCTTACAGCATCAGAGCAACGCCGCCGAGCGGTGGAAGAGGGGATCTGAGCGGGGGGAAATCAATGAGTACAGGGGTTTTATGGAGAATTCAAGAATCAGAGAACATAATGACTGAGAAAAAAGCGAGATTTTTTTATTAAATAAAATGAGAATGAAATTTAAAATTGATTAAGGCTAAAATTACCTTACTGGTTTTGGAGGGAAGAAAATGCTTGAGGGTGGCGTGGGAGGAGTGAGAGTGAGAAGGAATTGGGGTTTGAAGTTGACATGTGGAAGAAAGACGCGGCGAATCAGACGGAGACCAGAGATTCGGAGTAAAATTAAGACGGCACGAAGCCATGCATTCGATATTTCGATGTTATCTATGAAATGAGATTCAGAGATTCCTGCGTCGCAGAATTTAGGGACGACAAATTGAGAAATTTCCATTTTGGTGTTTTGATGAATAGCCAATAGGATTCGGGTTTCCGGTCTCGTCATTGGGCTATACCTCAGTCGTGGGCTTCTCTCAATTTCGCTTCTCAGTTGTCACATTGGACTGATTGATCTTTTGTCGGCAGTTGGTCCTATCTAAGCCATCTATCAAAGAAAATTATCGATGCAACCTCAAAAAATTATGTATCATCATTAACGGGAGATGTGAATAATGAAGGATCATTGAAATGTTTATATATATTTAATTAAACTTGATATTGTATTCGATAAACGAGCACAGTTACTTGACATTGACTCGTACATTTTGATTTTTGGTTGCATATGTGCTATTATAAAAAACGTAGTTACTCAGCCAAGAAGGTTTTGGAAGAGTCTATTTTTATTGTGTATTTGCAGAGAGAAGGTACCCATTGGTGCCTTTCAATTCTACAGGAAGAAGATGAACTTGCATGTTTATAGCTTTGTAACGTAATGATATGTAAGCTCTTCTAATAAATGGAAAGTCCCAGAATCTCACTTTTTTTTTTTACCAGAATCCCAGAATCTCACTTTTAAAATTATTAGTACCTACTCTTTTAATTTAAGAAACCAAAAAGAAAAAGAAGAGGAGAAGCAATAATGATGGTCTATTATACAATGAACAAGTTTCGGTGCTCATCACATTGATGAGTACTCTAAATGTATTAGATCTGGATTGTTCATATCTCATTTGAATAGTCTAAATTTATTTTTTTTATTTTTATTCATTCAAAATAATTATTTTAGTATGTATAGAAGTTAAAGATAAAGATGATCTGTTCATTGTCATTCTTTCAAAAAAGTTTTTTCTATTTAAAAATAAATTATTAAAGATTTTAAATCTAAATTATTCAAATCAAATATAAATGGTTTATATTTGATTAGTTTAGGGTACTAAGCAAGATGATGAGTATTGAAACTGGTTTTGTTATACAGCATATGCACGTACAAAGAGATGAGAGGCTAATTGAAATAATGAGTATCATGTGATAATGGTGTATTTTATTATCATTTTTCCGGTGACGTATCTTATCATCTTTTTGGTCATAATTGAAATATAACCAAGATGCACCATGAAAGTAGTAATTTTTTTATTAACAAGTAATGTTTTTTCAATCAGATAAAACCAATGATTAAAGAACCGGACCGGACCGGACGGTCGGACCGGTTGAACCGTCACCCGGACTCGTTAACGGCTCGGTTTGTACCAAAAAACCGTTTACATAATTGAGCCGGATTAGACCGGAGTTGAGCCGTTATTAAGCCGGAAACCGGAGTTGGACCGGGAACCGGAACGGTTTTCAGAAAACCGGACGGTTTTTTAGCCTGATTGAAAAAATACTAAATTTTTTTAAAAAAATAGAAGAAAAATAAAAAAATTGATCCCCTTAAATATCCTAATATATTTTTAGACTATTTATAACCATATAGTATTATTTCATTGAAAATTTCATATATTGTGATGTTAAAATCGTGAGTCGCTAGTCTTTTTGTTTCGATATTTGGTCTATCTTTTAAAAAAAATATTTTGATTTGAATGAATTGATAATTTGTAATATCATTAAATATTTTAAACATACATTAATTTAAATATATAAGGTTTTAGTCCATTTTCAATGATTTCATTATAATTTTAGATTATTTAAATGCATTTCAAAATTATTTAATAATTTGATATTTTTCATATATACTCATTATATATATATATAATATTGTTTTAAATTAATTATTGCGTCATCGGTCCGACCGAACGGTCCGACCGATCCGACCGATTGAACCATAACCCGTTGATCTTTCCGGTTCGACTTCCGGTCCGTCTTTTAAAACATTGGATAAAACAAATACTATCCCAGTTTTTAATGTAAGACCTCATTTAACTTTTTCCTAAATATACGGCTATAGTCCATAATTCTTCTAATAATAATAATTCTAACTAATACACTTAAATAGTAAAGATATTTTAGAAAAAATAATATTTATTTATTAGAAATAACTAACTTAACTTATTTTCTTAATACACTCAAATTAGTCAACTAGCTCTTATATTTAGGACTAGAGGTAGTATTAGTATATAATACTAATAATATCTCCAGTTTATTAAGAGTTAGAGTTAATTTGGTCCTAACTATAAGACCATAATTCACTGTCTTTCATATTTATGTATTTCTTCCAAAGTAGTAGATGCACATATTAAAAGTTCTATCAAATGGTAGTTCTAATTAATACACATAATTAGTAAGGATATTCTAGAAAAGGTAATACAAACTTAACAAACTTTTTTAATCTATTTAAATTAATTAACTAACTTTTATATTAAGAACAAGAGATAATAACGCTGAGAGACATGTAAAGTGGTTATTTCTGTCAAAAGAAAAGTATCCATTAGGAAGAGGATAAGCCGGAGACGTTCCCAAAGGATTGCGGTAGATATTTGCGTATTTGAGATTGAGTGGAATCAATTACTCCTCTGATCTTTAATGTAAGATTTAATTATTAAGTTAATTTTGGTTTTAAATATAAGACTTATTTCTACTCTCTTAAACATAATCAAGTAAATGAGAAAGGAAAGATATTAAGAAAGATAATTATGAGGTTTTGGATAAAAAACATGTCATATTTTTTATAATTAACTAATTTACCTAACTTCTTTAATCTAATCAAATTAGTTAAATAAGTCTTATCGCACGGCACGCATATACATAGATATATATATATATATATATATGGACACACACACAACCTCCAGTTTTTAATTTAAATATTAGTTCGGAGTTGGATTTTATTTTAAATATAAGATGATATTTTACTTTGTCTCTTATTTTTTACTAAAATATATCTATTTATTGTAAGAGGTTTCCATTTCAAACTCAATGTACATGACTGAATAGAATAGTTTAGGAAAACTAATACATATTTGTGACAAATAACTAATTTAACTAATTTCATTAATATCCTTAAATTAATGATCCAGTTTTTATATTAAAGATAGAAGGTAGTGTTAATGATCAATTTATAATCAAGACTTTCGCACGAGAAGGCAATAATTGCAGAGCATATTATACATCTGAGAAGGAGCAACGAGGAGAAACACATGGTGACACAAAGCAGACACGTACAAGAATACAGAGAGAAGCTTCCAGTTTAGTTTGCCATGAAGCCATTTCTGTTTGGCTGATTTCATTTGATTTTGATTTGATGAAACATGACCAAACCATAAATTATTTGATTTTCACAACAATCCAAAGGCTGCGAGGTTTGTCTTTGGGTTCCACATCAACACATGAAACATGCAGATGGTTGTGTTTACTTAATTATTAAAGCTCTAATGTCACTTTTAGAACAAACGTTGCGACGGCTGGAAAATTGGAACATCATCTTTGATTCATTATCACTCACTGCCTACGTGGCCCTCATTATCATACGGTTCCCATAAGCCGATGGATTTTTTATTTATTAATGATGAAGTAATAACGTGAGTTAGGATGAAAATATATATAAACATACTTGTAAGTTGTGAAGGAAAAAAAAACATAATTGGAATGACTTGATTAATTAATTTCAAGTCAGGACATTTTCGGAATCAACTATTTTAATTCTATAAGCTAATAGTCATGAATTGAGTGGTGGAATCACCATACATGATATCTACTACAAAAATATCTATTTAGGTGAGTTGGATAAGATCGTTATATTGAAAACGGGATTTGAAATCACAATCTTATCAGTTATGATATGACTCCTTATATTAATTCCTAAATATAGAAGACGGCAAAATGATTCGTTTTTTGGGCAGACAGAGATGGTTGGATCTAATGAGCCCATTGCAATTAAAAAATACGAGCCCATTAGAAGCCCATCACATCCCCAGAATGGGCTTTCACGAGTTAACATAATCCAACACAACTACTTACTTAGTCACACCAAAGCCCAAACTGATTTATAGGTTTTTCATGAGATTGAATCAATCATCGTGGCCATTCCCCTGGCCTTGTAATGATGAGTATTGTTGTCAAAATCGTGTGTTAACTTTGGAGGTTTAATGTTTTCACATCTTCAGTTTATGTCAACTTGACCTTAAACTTGTGATAGATATAAACTTAGTTTAACTTACGAGTTCACTCATCGAATTTACTGTTTTTAATTTATAAAACCGTGTCAATTCACTTCTAAATTTGCTCTAAGTTTTTAGATTTATTTATGTTTAATAAATTTATATAGGAACTTTATAGAAATTTCTTTGTTGAATATATTGAATATAGTAAATTATGATTGTTGATTGATTGAATTTCAATTATTTAGATTTAAAATATATTTAAATAAAATGACTGTCATTTTTATATTTTAATTATTTAATTATACACTTTTAATATTTATTTATTAAAAAAATAAATTCTTATGAATTTACAATTTGAGTTTATATTTATATCATTAGTTTACTTAAACTCGCCGGTCCTTGCTGTTAAGTTCAGTTTGGATGACAGTCACATATTCGCAGGGTGGGATTAATTGTTTAGTGTAATAACTTAGTTGAGAATCTTTCAGATGAGGACAATTTCGGAGTCAACTACTTTGGTTTTAGAAGGGAATCATTGTGAATTGAGTGGGATCAGCAAAAATTTCCATAGAGAAAGAAGGCTTAATTATGCCACTTTTGATTTCCCCCGACTTTAAATATTAATTCTTTTATTAGCCGGCGCATCAATGACTTAATAAACACGGAATGGAAGTTGCTTTCCATGACTGATTCAGACGATGCTTTCCGATCACCTCATATGGCCAAAAAAAGAAATACAATTAAAATGCCAAATTGTAATGAAAAACATTTAAAAACAAAAAAAATAATTAATAGAAATAGAAAAATAACTGGGGAAGATATGGTGCAGTCCAAAATTCAAAACCTTCTCCCATGTTTAATATATCCCCATATAACGTAACATACATATATATATAATTTATTAAAAATACTCACTATAGTCCTATATTTTGGCCAGAAATAAAGAAATCATGCCCCTAATATAAATTAATTTTTCGTTATGTTATTTAGCATTTAAAGAGTTGTTTTGAAAAAATCTTTTCGATAATATAAAAATACTTAATGATCTTTAAATTTATGTTTTTAGTTCCTAAAATTGAGTTTGTCTTAAAATGTTAGTCTTTGTAACACTGTTAAAACCTGTTAAAGTATCATAAATAATGTTAAAATAATAATGTGGACTTATCATGTACCATCTAACTAGATTTTGTGTGGATAATAAAATGACTATACAAAGGAGGATGAATTCTCAAGACATGAACAACTTCTCAAATGAACAGTAAGAAAAGAAAGAGAAAAAAAAGGCTAAACAATGTGTTCTAAAGACTTTTTTTTTTTTGCTATCCATACAAAATCTAATTAGGTGTCATATAGTGAATTTCTATCATCACCTCAACACCGTTTACAATAGTTCAAAAGATTATAATACCATTACACTTTCAAGGACTAACATTTTAAAACAGTTTAAATTTCAAAAACTAAAATCATGACTTTAAAATTTGAGAAATTAGAATAAAATTAGATTCAAATTTCATAGGCCAAAAATTATACTAACATATATATAAGAATAGAGGGAGTAATAGCACATAATGATACTCTTTTGGTTTTTAATGTAAGACATATTTAACTAATTTGATTATACTAAGGAAGTTAGATAAATTAGTTAATTATAAAAAAATATGACATATTTTTCTAAAACACCATAATCATATTTCTTAATATCATCTCCCTATCCTATTTAATTATGATTAAAAGAGTATTCACAGGGGTAATTTAAGAAAAAATAATAAATATAATAAATAAGTTTTATATTTAAAACCAAAATTAACTTGACAATCCTATATTAAAAACCAGAAGAGTTTCTACTAAGCTACTCTTCTGATTCTAAATATAAGATCCTTATACACTTATACACACTAGTATAAGGGTCTTATATTTAGGATTGGAGGAGTAGTATGGTAATACCTAGTGAATTATGGCCCTTCAAGCTTTTACTCTTCCGGTCCTAAATATAAGACCCTTATACTAGATAAGGGTTTTATATTTAGAACTGGAAGAGTATTATTTTTCCCCTTGAAATTACATAGGCGTTAGCTAGGCAAGGAAATGAGCCAAATTGCTGAACTATTGCCTAATGGCTTCTTTATAATTAAAATTATATCCTAATGCCTGTCCCACAAAGGGGGGCAAAAAAAAAAAAAGGGTGAGTAGTTCACCCAATAGGAAAGCAAGACTAAGGAAGAAGTTAAAATGAAGATGAATTGTTGGAGGTTGAAGAGCTTCATTGTGTTGTGAAGGTAATGGACAGAGGAGAAGAAGAGATGAGGATAGAGGGGCACGTGACGCACCCTGAGCACCCTCTGGTGTACGTTGGCCGGGGAGGAGGAGGAGAAAGCGGCGGAGACTTCTTGTGCCACGGCTGCAACCAACCAGGGAGTGGCGGCCGATACATATGCTACGCCTGCGATTTCGTGTTACACCAGCACTGCGCCACGTCTCCCCCCACCTTCTCCTTAGCCTCTCATGACCTCAAGTTGGTCTGCGACGCCCATCTTCGCCTCGGCATCCACATCTGTGATCTCTGTACCGCCGACATTGACGGCCTCCTCTTCTACAGGCAGTATTCTTCCCACTTAATTCATATAAAATTATTAATAAACTAAGATTAAATGAAAGAGAGCACCATATAAAATTGAAGAAAATAAAGTATACGCTTACCTTCTTTGAAACTGAAGTTCATATTTTTACACTTTTATTATTGTTGACCTTATATTTGGTTACCCTTCAATTGCCAATTTGTTGAACTTTGTGTTAGACCTTATATTTGGTTAACCTTCAGTTGTTACAGTTAGTCTAATTAGTAAGAAGTCAGCTCATAACTCACAAAATCGTGAATTTGAATCTTAATTATTGCCGATATGAAGACTTTGTTGGTGGGTAATCTGTAAATATCTCTATAAGCGTTTTTTGAGCCTGGAGATATGTCCTGGCCCTGGTAAACCCCGGAGACCCAACTCACCTAAACTTTTTTATACAAAAAAAAAAACCTTCAGTTGCTACTACCGATATGAAGGTCATGTTAGTAAGCGATTTTTAAGCCTAAAGACATGTTCTAGTCTTGATGAGTCTCGGCTTCAATTCACCTAAATTCTTTTTTTAGTATAAAAAATCACCGATTGTAATATCTTCATAAGATATGGAATGTCATTCAGGTGTGAGAAGTGCAACTTTGATGTGCACCCACTGTGCCGTCAATTGCCGGAGCTGATGCGCCACCCTTCACACCCAGACCATCTCTTGGGGCTCCAACCACTCTCCTTTGGGACTTGCAGGCTCTGCGAAACCCTAAGCACCGCCGCTTCCTGCGGCTATAGATGCCAACTCTGTGACTTCAACCTTCATCTTCCTTGCATCTCTAAATCTCCGCAACCCAACTGGTTTGGGTTCCCCCAGAGCCCTCTCCTTACTGTACTGGTTGTGACTCTAGCGTGTATGGTCGCTCTTATGATGATGGCGGCTAATCAACGTAGTGGAGGGGGTTATTGGGTGCACCCTGTCCATTATCATCATCGTTGATTCCTTATATAGCAGCAAACACCGTAAAAAACAGCATTTAGGTTAACTTTTACGATGTAAAAGAGGAATTTCGTATTGATTTGGACAAGCTATCACTGTGTGATTGTTTTTGGATTGGGGTTGCTCAAATGTGATTTTGAATTATGGTGATTTCTTAGGGTAATATTGATCCTAAATGATTTTAATTAATTTACTTTTGTTTATAACTTTTTTTCTCTAAAATGTGATCGACTTTAAAATAATTGAATCAGTGGGATGTCATTTATCGAAGCTGTTTCTAAATGTGTAATTGTTGAAAAGGATATAATTGTTATACATTTCTCTAAATTTTAAAATTCAATAATTGTGAACTATAATTTAATGAATGACGTGATATGATTTTTTGGATTTTTAATATGAATTTAAATGAAGTTAGTAACATCTCAAATTTTTTTAATTAGATTAATTGAGGTCAGGATTGATTAATTAAAAGGACTCTCGAAAGGTTAGAAGTTTAAGGAACTTGAAGGAAAAGATGTAGCAACATATTTCATCAAACTAAATTATTTTTATAATCAGAGTTAATTTAATTGATGAATTATTATTAATTAAACTAAATCTCATTTTCTGTTTTTTGTGTTTTTTTTTTCCATTCTGATGTAATAGTGGGTAGTGCATGTCTTACTGGGATTTAAATTTCGTCAAATGAGCTAGCTTTCGTCAAATGAGCTATAATTTAATGGTTAGTAGTATTAAATTATAATCTAATGATGTTGAGATAAAGACATTTACTTATTTTCTGAAAACAAAGCGCTAATTTGTAACTTCACTATCAGTCTTACTAGTCACTACCATTAAATTATGATATGATGATTAATATTTCTCAATTGTAATGGAAAAGAAAACAATGGCTTTGTTAACCAAAGTGAGAGTGAAACACACATGTGTTTTGATGAGATTGAAAGAATCCCTTGCTTGGTCAATTGTGTTACGCCAATGAATAATATATTCACAGACATGAATTCCCCTAACATAATCATGGCAAAAAGAATTCCTCTACCAAAATCACTATACATTATGTTCAAATTAATGTCCCAATCAATCCCAAGTGCCAAGTCAACCTTGCCTTCCCTCGTTTTCGCTTCATCATTTATATATTGCTCATTTGCTGAAGTTATTATTTATTATGTTCCGTATTTATTTTTACAGTTTATTTATCTATATTTTTCAAGTAAAATATTTGCTTTTTTCCCTTTTTCTTTTGCTGATCTTCGCTTTTTGTTTGTTTGATTATTTTCATGGATTTGTTGCTTTATACGTGGACGCACATTCCCTCTTTATTCTTTACTTTGTACTCCTCGGATCCTTAATATATGACTAATTGTTGAGTTGATTTTAGTTCTAAATATAATACCTATTTGTTATATTTATCATTTTTTTGAAATTATCCCTTAGATACTTCTTGAACCATAATCAAGTAGAAGAGGAAGGGAGGATACTAGAGAAAATGATTATAATGTTTTAGAAAAAATATGTCATATTTCTTATTATTAACTAACTTACCTAACTTCTTTAATCTAATTAAATTAGTTAAATAAATCTTATATTAAAGGCCGCATGAGTATACATTAAGGAAAATATTTTTTAAATTTATTTTTTAATTTTGTTGACTAGTTCCCATAGCTGCCATGAAAATACTTGTTGACCAAATTTGCACCCCCCCTTTTTTTTGTGGGGGTGATAATTGATATCTTTAGCTTTACTTTATTCATGTATTTGTCGTGTCTCTCCTCACATTCGCTGCATCTAATGACTATAAACAGGACAAAGGCTTTTGTAGGACAGGTGCTTTGTTGCTTTAATCAGGCTTGCGTAACTTTGCACGTCCACCATCCGTTCTATAAGAAAGACTCTTTAATTTAAAAAATTTAGAGTTATGATATAATTTTATCCTTGATTTTTTAATATAATAATTTTATCCTTAATCTTATTTTTCAGGTATAATTTTGTCTCTAATCTTTTTTCTTGAAAGATTGCACCTAAGAAAAAAAATCAGGATCAAAATTACGCCACTAAAAAGATTAGAGATAAAATTGCATATGAAAAATAAGATTAGGATTAAAATTACGCCTTAATCCAAAAATTTATATGTCTTTACATGGATCAACAGTTTCAGGTTTTAGCCTGTTTAATCAACATCTAGGGCTTTGATTTATTTTTACTGCTACGAAAAAATTTTATTTTCTGAGAAGTAATATTATTATTATTTGAACAAAGCAAATCCTAATTTAGTCTCTGGAAAAAAAAAAAAGAAGCAAAAACTATTGAACATGTTTCATGAAATCACTGCCTAGACGTTTTTCTTTGTAGGGAAAAAAATTAAACAAGCCAAAATATAAAGTTTAGTTTTAATTATTAACTGAATAAAGTGCCCCGGCCCCTAAATTTGTTTCTTAAATACCTAAAAAGACCTCCAACAAAATTATTCCATCGGTCCTAAATATAAAACTCTTATACTAATGTGTATAAAAGTCTTATATTTAGGATCGGAAGAGTACTTACTGTGTTACTGACCAAAACAAGACAACAAAAATTATTGTCGTTGTCAGGTTGCGTATTTGGATCGATGTTCAATTTGGATTTGGTCTTCCTCATGGGAAAATAAAACCAATTCGGTCTTTTTCAGAGGAAAATCACGGTATTGAAGTTCAACCAGTGTGGGTCTAGTCGGCCAATCCACTGGTTAATCGGTTTTTTATCGGTTCAATGAAATTTTTTGGAAGGCCTATTTTTATTTTCTCCCTGAAAGAATCATTTTGAGATTAAAAAAAAAAGCTAAAATATAGGCATGGTCATCTAGTTTGACACAAAGTTTTAGTTGGATTTTTTAACTTTAAAAAATAAATTTTTAGTCTTTAAATTCGAAAATTGTTAGCCACAAATGATATTCTCTTATAACAATCATAATTATTTTAAAAATTAAACTTAATATGTTAATATTTGAAAATGTTTTATTAACATTAAGAATTTTAATATTATCATTTTTTTAATAACTGTTTTAGGGTCAAAAGAATTAAAATACGCTTTTTAAAGTTAATAGATTAAATTAAAATTTTGTGTAAAATTAAAAGATTAAAAATATATTTTAACTTTCAAAAAATAACATTATACTTTAGCCTTTTAAAACATAACAATCCATCATATTTGTGTTTCAATTTTTTTCAATAGTCCTATTTTATTATATTATGTGTGATTTCTATATTAATGTTTCATTTACTTGTAATTGAATCAATTTCTAAATATTACTCTTTTCAAAGTTACATGTGACTTTTTAATATTTTAATTAAATTTTATTTCTTTAGCCTAAATGTAGAAGTTAAATAATTAACTTGTAAATATTAAAGAAACTAGCTAAGATATTTGTTTATAAGAAACGCATGGTAATTTCTTAAATTATTCCTTTAATAATAATCTACATTAGAAACTATCTCTGATTAAATAGAACTCTCTTAAAAAGTGCAAATAATATAAATAATTTAGAAAAAAAAATTATAAAATTAAGAGATACAATATTTTACATTTAGAATCTAAACAAACCTCTCCATTAGTTCCTATATTTAGGATCGGAGGAGCATTATTTTAATCAATACTGGGATGATTTTCCTTGGTCAATTATGATTAGACCCCTGCAGATATTTAAATTACCATCACGATTAGTGGTTTTTAATACCTGGACAAGATAAAATCAATTTTTTAGCAAATGTTTTTTATTTTAAATAATCTACACAACTCACTTGGAGCTAGATCAAAATCTTTTCAGAATCTTCTTTTTCATTCTCTCTTCAAAATCGTTTCTCTGCCGTTAGATAAACAAACAGATTATTCATTATTCACATGTAATGTCTTACAAAGGTATTATCATATTATTTTATAAATTAAATTGATTAGATTTTACAGTTTAAATTTATTTATTTATATTTTAAAGTATTATAATAATATTTTATAAAATACTATATCTGAGCCCTTTTTTTTTTGCCTAGGGGGGAAAAGGCACTCTGATAATAATATTTTTGTGCCTAAGATGATTTCATTGCGACGCGGTGCATTATTGGACTGAGAAGTTTTGTTTTGTTGCGGCCGCGTCTTATGATCCACAGGAATCCCTGACAAGCTTGATGACGACATGTCCGCGCCCCTCAATCAAACGACCATACAAATCCAATTATTTATTTATGTTGGTGCATTTTTATTTCATGAGAATAAAGTCGCTCACTAAATAAATCTAGCACTGTACTTAGTACCTTTGACTATTAATATAAGAGCTGGTTTGATATTCAATATAATTTTAAATATAAAATTTTAATTTATTTTATCTCTCATATTTATTTATTTATTTTCTTAATGTAATCATTGTAGTAGTTGCACATGTTAAATATGTCATCAAATCATAATTATAACTAATATACGTTATTAGCAAGGTATTTTAAGGAAGGCAACACGTATTTATTCTAGATAATTAACTTAACTAATTGTTTTAATATACTCAAATCAATCAATTATGTCTTATATTAAGGATAGGAGATAATATTAATTATGTTCATAAATATGTTTTGTATATACAATATGAATACTTTGGCAAGTCGCATACGCAATGAACACTTTAAGCACTAACCAATCCATGGGATTCATATGCTAATTATCATGCAAAACTGACACATGTTATACTACCTCTGATTTTTAATAAAAGAGCTTGTTTAACTTTTATTTTAGTTCTAAACATAAGACTCGCAATATATTTTGTCTATCATATTTATCTTTTTTTTTTTTAAATAGTCTTTGTAATGATAGTAGTTCTAACCAATACATTTTATTAGCAAGGATATTTTAGGAAAGACAACACCTTTTTATTAGAAATAACTAACATAACTTATTTTCTTAATCTACTCAAATTAGTCAACTAGCTCTTATATTAAGAATCGAAGATAGTATATATTATGCTCATATCAAATGATGCTTTTCTACTGGTATATGTTTACATTTTAAATATATAATAAATCAAATTATTTTTAAGTTTTTGAATCATATAACTTATTTTTGTATTTCTTGAGATCGAGCCTACGCAGTTACGTATTTTAATTATAATTATCATAATATTATAGCATGCTGTATATATTTTAAACCTCGAAAACTAAGATTATAAACAATTTGGCCTCATCGAGCATAGTTGATGAAAAATGAATCCTTTTTTATTAACTAAGCGTAAATTGAAATATTACTGCTTAACTCCTTCATTATTTTTTTAAGAAATAAACTAATTTTTATCAGCATTATTTTCTTTGGGGAGATTTAATTCTTATAAGATTTGACATCCAATAATAATGTGAATACAAGTGGCTAGGTCCTCCGTCCCCCCGATGAAATAAATAGTACGAAACTGAATGAATATATAATATATAGGAGGAACATGAAATGATTCCTTCGAGCATGTGCAAGGCACTCGACAGGCCTCCGTGACATGGGGGACAACCCTCTTTCCCATATCTATTTTTTTTATATGCCCCTTGACTTATCCCCCTGGCAACACTTTCCCCTCCTATAATTGCATCTGACTTTGTGTTTTACTAGTACTATTTCTTATTCTTAACATAAGATCTAATTTATAATTTAATATAAACAAATTATTAAAAAATTAGCTAAAATGATTTGAAGGTACACAAAAAATGTGATTAGAATTAAATATACCGGTGATAAGGATAGACCAAATAATATGAAATATAAAACACGTAACGTATATAAAGATGAAAGAAAATACTTAATTTAGTTATTGAAAGGAATCTTTTTATTAACAATTTATTCAAAAAACTAGTTGTTGATGTTGAATATAATGTCATTATGTGATTCATATATTATATCCGACTCCATCTAATGGGATTGTTGTATTTGTTGGGGTGTGTGTGTATGATATTACTGTGATCTGATGCTTCTGAATTCTGATAAAATCAAGTTTTAAGCACAATGAGGTAAATAATGTAATTAATTTCAAACTCATGGAGTATCAAACATCTTTCGTTTGGTGCAGGTGGAAAGGCACTCCAACAAATGTCCCTTTAGCTTAACAATCTTGAAAATTTACAAGCTTTCAACACAAATAATTATATGAATATTAGATTTAATAAAAGTACTATATTTTGAGGCCTAACAACCAACGTCGACAAAGCAAAATGGGTGGCTGGCTCGGCTTCTGCCATAGGCATTATTGTATTATAGAACTTATCTTAAATTGAGTGGTACAGACCTGGAGGATGAATTTCTCAGTTCAAAGGCTGTCATGTTTGTTAATATGTAATATACTACTCCCGGTTTTTAGTAAAAGAATTAGTTGACTAATTTAAATAAATTAAAAAAATTAGTTAAGTTAGTTATTTGTAATAAATAAGTATTGTCTTTTCTAAAATATTCTTATTAATTAAATGTATTGGTTAGAACTACTATTATTATAAGGATTAGTTTGAAAAAATAAATAAATATAAGAGACAAAGTGAATTGAGATCTTATATTTAAGACCAAAATAAAAAAACTCTTATATTAAGGACCATGTCGCAAAAAAAAAGTTGAGACCCAATTTTGTAAAAATTAAGAAAATCATATAAATGATTATTAGTCATTTGTAAAAAAGAAAACATGTTGATTCTTTTGTAAAATTTTCTTCTTAACTGTGTGTATCGAAATTATCTCTTAATAGAGATTTTTTTTAATGCGAGCAATTAATATAGGTTTTTGAAAAAAATTTATAAATACAAGAAATAAAATAAATTAATATATTATATTTACAAG